CATAGAAATATATAGGAAATTTTTTTAAAATCTTCTTCTCAAGAACCACTGTGAAAGGAAAGATGAAACGTATATGGAAGCATCCTCAGGTAGTGTAGATTTAAGTTTAGTCGAATCATGACCCCCGGAGGTAGGGCGGGGCCACAATAGCCGATCAAAAATTTTACATAGAAATATATAAGGAAATTCTTTCAAAATCTTCTCAAGAATAGCAAAGGCATTAATGATCACATTCATATGGAAGCATCCTCAGGTAGTGTAGATTTAAGTTTAGTCGAATCATGACCCCAGGGGGTAGGGGAAGGGCTACAATGGCCGATCAAATTTTTACATAGAAATATATAGGAAATTTTTTTAAAATCTTCTTCTCAAGAACCACTGTGAAAGGAAAGATGAAACGTATATGGAAGCATCCTCAGGTAGTGTAGATTTAAGTTTAGTCGAATCATGACCCCCGGAGGTAGGGTGGGGCCACAATAGCCGATCAAAAATTTTACATAGAAATATATAAGGAAATTCTTTCAAAATCTTCTCAAGAATAGCAAAGGCATTAATGATCACATTCATATGGAAGCATCCTCAGGTAGTGTAGATTTAAGTTTAGTCGAATCATGACCCCAGGGGGTAGGGCGGGGCCACAATGGCCGATCAAAATTTTACATAGAAATATATAGGGAAATTCTTTAAAAACCTTTTTATCAAGAACCACTGTGCCAGTAAAGATGAAATTTATAGGGAAGCATCCTCAGGCAGCGTAGATTCAAGTTTGTTCAAATCATGATCCCGAGCGTAGAGCGGGGCCAAAATGGCCGATCAGAGTTTTACATAGAAATACATGTATAGAGGGAAATTCTTTAAAAATCTTTTAAAGAATGATTAGTCATATTCATATGGAAGCATTCTCAGGTAGTGTTGATTCAAATTTGTTCAAGTCATGACCCCTGGGGGAAGGGCAGGGCCCACAATGTAAGTTCAAATGTAAAGGGCAATAAAGCCACAGGTAGTCATGCAAAGATATATGCAAGCATCCTTAGTTAGTGTAGATTTAAGTTTGTTTAAACCATACCCTTTCCCCTTTAAGAATTGTTGGGACCACTTTTGGGTTTAAACTTTTCAAAAATAAACTGTGTCTGCTTATTTTTTCCAAGCTACAGTGCTCAGGTGAGCGATGTGGCCAAAGGGCCTCTTGTGTTTTGTTTTTTTTCTAGCCAGTTTTCTCGTCTAGTCAGTTAAACTTTCATCGTCAGTTTCAAAGACAATATCTGTTTTACCACACTGAAATGTGCAAGATGTCATTATGAAATACACATGTACTCAAGTTCATACGGCTTTGCATACATTGCGGAGCGTAACTTTTGCTGATAATTTAGTATACAAGGTTCAGGGGTTATCGTCTTGCCTCATGCATTCCGCTATAAAACAGGTATTTTGATATTTTTCGCAATAAATGAACAGTAATGCTGAAACCATGTTTAAACCCATCTCTATGTAAAAATACAATTTTGGCACAAGGTTGTGTTATATTTTATTTTTTGTGTTATCCATTTCAATGTGGTTAATCAGGAGTGCATTATACTATCACTATACTATCAATTTTATCTGCAATTTTTCCCCATTGAGTGGATTAAGCAGAAACTGCACAAACACAAGTTGTTTGAAAAGGATTAAAAGAAGGTTCTGTGTTAAATATTTACAAAGCTATGTTTATAAAATCTTTAAATACGTGAAAGAGATAGATTATCTAAAAAAGAAAATATGAAACATATACATGTATAGGAGAGCAAGATGCGCAAGGTGTGCGGAAATGCATTATATAATTATGTATTTATTTTCTGTTTTAATTTTAGAGCAGGGATGTATGAAACAAAAGATTTGTGTCATAAAAATAAATGTCTTTCTTTAATATTTAAATCAGTGTTAAGCTTTAAAATAATAATGGAATTTAAACAAACACAATGTATTTTGCTCGCAGCTGTATGATAGGAAAAACGTTTAAAACAACATGTGCATTATGCTTAGCTTCTTCAATATACATTGTACAACATTTGATGGGTTTTTTAACAGGTCTGAAGTACAAGGAAGGGTGGGGGGGGGGGGGGGTGATAACCTTTAAAAATTTGGTACAATGCACATAAAATTCAATATGAATAATTTGATTCAAAAACTAAAGATCAAGCCTCACTTTATTTTGGGGGTCAGTTTCTTTTTATAATTCTGAGATTTTAAAGATATGTTTCATTTTTTTTTTTTCATTTCATAGAAATTAGCACACATAATTTTTGCTGATAATTTAATACTTAGGGTTTAATATTTAGAAATTATCGTCTTGGTACATGCCAGAATATTTAGACATTTTTCGCAATCAATGTAGTCTTCTGCTACATGTATAAGAAACATAAGATTTAAAACTATTTATTTGGCACGAAGATGAGCTTATTTATTTTTTTTTTAGGTCTGCTCTAAATTTTGTATTGTTTTAAATGAACTTTTGAGCTTTAATATACTGTTAATTATCTCAATATGTTTCATTCTTTTTTTCGGCAAATTTGTAAATAATGTCCACAATACGATGCGTTTTTTTTTTATCCGAATTGTCATTTTCTTTCCCATCAGAATCGAACATTAGTCAAGAGTGGCTAGGTAGCTAAAATCCCTTTTTGTTTTAAAGGCATAAACAAATCATTCAGGATGTTTATTCTAAAATAAATCTTGAAACATTTGAAAGACTTACATTATCTAGAAAACGAAAGCAACCTTAAAACGTGAAAGAGATAAATTATCTAAGAAACGGAATTTGCAACATATGTTAAGAGGGAGATACTCTGTGTCTATGATAATTAGACAAGCGGAATCTATACATTCTGTCTTATGTAAGTACTTTCTTAATACATGTTGATGTTTTTATCAACATTCCTTACCGTATTTACTCTCTCTCTCTCTCTCTCTCTCTCTCTCTCTCTCTCTCTCACATATGCTGTGTTGAAACTACTGTAAGATAATTCTGTATTTCTGAACTTATATGTATGCACTCTTTAACATGCAAAAGGGAAAAGTGCAGTTTATGATTAAGAATGCACAAAGCAATATTGACTACAATTACATAACTAAAAAAAGAAAATTCTCGGATCTTTAAAATTTTTGAACGATTACACTCTAGTCCAGCATTAAATTCAACTGATAAAATTACCAAGGATTAATTCAAATACAGAAAAAAAACTTAGGCCACACCAATTTAATTTCTTGTTCGTCGGACATTTGATGAAAAAAGTACGAGCGGGCTAGCGGTTAAATAATAATATTATTTCTTTATTGTAGGCAACATTTTTAGGCGGGGCGTGAAAAAAAATGAGCGGACAATCATATTTTTTCTGATTTGCAGAGTAAATCGATTAAAAGTACGATAAATAGAGCGGAAATGGAACAGAAAACAGCACAGAATTCCAAAGATGCGGGAATTTTAAATTAATATTATTTGTATAGTTTTGTTTAAATACGAGCGCGCGGGTCCGACGAACAAAAAAAATTATTGGTGTGGCCTTATCAAGAAATACAACGGAAGGTGATGAGTGTGTATATATTTCAGTATGCACTCTTATTCTTCTCCGATGGGTCGATTGATTGAAAAATATGAGTTTTAATACATTCAATCGCTAATAGTAAAATAGACAAAATGCAAATAATTTTTTTTTTTGAAATGCTTGCTTTGAATATTGCTGCCTGACGAAAGATTAACATTATCTGAAATTTCACAGTTCATGATAAATATTCTATATATTCTTAAGTTTTGCAGCAAATAAAACTTTATATCTCAAATTTTGACAACAAATGCATATTTATATTGAGAAGAAATATAACCTAGATAAAACGAATAAGAGGAGTCCTTGTGTTTTCAAGTTTATTTTTGACTTTATATAATAGAGGTTTTTAAATCTTTTAGTTTTAAAGAGACACTTGTATTAATATTTTGATAAACCATGATGGTAGGAAATTGTCCCGAACAAAGGTATAGTGTCCTATTTGTGAGTGTTCATTTTCTGTTTACAGAGCTGTATAGCGAGCTGAATAAAACAAGCTTTCTATCAAATACGAGGGCTGTTCAATAAATAATGTCCTGAACTATATGATTTACATTACAGATATCGTGTGGCATTAAACTTGACTTTTTCTCATTATTGAATCTTTCGTGAATTTATAACAGTTTATGTGACCACTTTTAATCACATAGTTTCTTCATGAAAAGCTGGGATACAAGGGCTTTTCGAGACACTGAATGATAAATGAATGGAAAAGAATCAGTAAACAAGAGTGAAAATAAAAGCTTCATTAAAGCTGCCGTAAAACTTGTTTAAAATCCCAAAGAAACTATGGCATGCCAAACGTTGCAATATTCGATAATCTTGTGATGTATATTCAAAATCTTGTGATGTATGTTCGAAATCTTGTGATGTATATTCGAAATCTTGTGGATGTATATTCAAAATCTTGTGATGTATATTCAAAATCTTGTGATGTATGTTCGAAATCTTGTGATGTATATTCAAAATCTTGTGATGTATATTCAAAATCTTGTGATGTATGTTCGAAATCTTGTGATGTATATTCAAAATCTTGTGATGTATGTTCAAAATCTTGTGATGTATATTCAATATCTTGTGATGTATATTCTAAAACTTGTGATGTATATTCTATAATCTTGTGATGTATGTTCGAAATCTTGTGATGTATATTCTATAATCTTGTGATGTATATTCAATATCTTGTGATGTATGTTCGAAATCTTGTGATGTATATTCAATATCTTGTGATGTATATTCGAAATCTTGTGATGTATATTCTATAATCTTTTGATGTATGTTCGAAATCTTGTGATGTATGTTCGAAATCTTGTGATGTATATTCGAAATCTTGTGATGTATATTCAAAATCATGTGATGTATGTTCGAAATCTTGTGATGTATATTCGAAATCTTGTGATGTATATTCAAAATCTTGTGATGTATATTCAAAATCTTGTGATGTATATTCTATAATCTTGTGATGTATGTTCGAAATCTTGTGATGTATATTCGAAATCTTGTTATGTATATTCTATAATCTTGTGATGTATATTCGAAATCTTGTGATGTATGTTCGATAATCTTGTGATGTATATTCGAAATCTTGTGATGTGTGTTCTACAATTCAGTGATGCGTGCAATAAAATTGCATGACGCAACAGAAAAGTAAGGACAATTTTCATTGGTTAGAAATAACGAAAGTAGCTGAAGCGTCGGGAAAACCATGCAGGTGAGAAAAAAACATCAGTTTGTTTATTGCAGCACTAATCATGCTAATTACGAGATGCACGAGTGTTGTTCCTGGTGACATGATGAAGATATTTCGGCCTGCTAGGGAAAAAACTCAGTAAACGTAGATATATTGACAAAATTTGTAGGTACTTGTAACGATATGTCACGATGCTGCATTGTCAGATACAGTATTTATACATGCATGCTAAAAAGTTAAATCTCGTAGTAATCAATATAGCAGAAGAATACATACTACAGAAGAGTACATACTACAAAAACTGTGCAATTTGTAGCAAGATTAATTTTTGTTTAACAGCTGTTTTTATTACATTTTATTTCGTATTATTACTACCAAATACTGCTACCGTTTGTTAATGTTATGCACATGGTTATCTTGTACTTGCAAGTAAATGTAACATTTAAAAAAAAAATAATGAAAAAATAAGTCATTTAGGCTATTTGATAATAACATGCTAAATGAACATGTTTTGCTTTTTAATTCTCCTTCACTCAGTCTTTGTATAATGTATATTTTTAGACGAGCTGATCGCCAACCAGGAGATCAGAATGATCGCATCTGCTCCTGCCACTTTAAGGATGGTAAGAAGGAGGGGGACCCTGCATATTTTGCATGGAATGAAGGAAAGGCCATGGATTTCTCTGATCCTGAATTTACAAAAAGGTGAAATTATTTTTCAAAATATGACCGACATCTTGTTTTTGGATGGTGGGTGGGTGGAGTTTAATTGAGAATATTTTACTAAAAATCTTTAAAAGGGTACATGTATAAACAGAGTAGCTTACAACTGAATAAAAAAATAATTCAAGTTTAATTATTTTACAAAGGAGGAAAAAACTCAAAAGTGAGGAGTCCCTGTCATCTTAAGATGGACCAGTTGCAGATTCCACAAGCACCAAAATGTCAATATCAAGAAAAAGTAAAGCTCATTTAAATCACCAATGATGACAAATGACCAACACTGAAACATTTTCAATAATTTTTAATAATATATAAAGTTCTTTTAACTGTACATGATTTACAATATATTTTCAGTTGATATCAGAGCACAACTACTCAGCGTCCTGCACATTTAACTGTACTCAAGAAATGCAGCGCCTCTCAACAGAAATACAACTGGAAAAGGAATTGCTTGCCCTAAAAATAGAGTCTAGTAAAAGGAAGCCAATATCAATCCACGATATTAAATACAACGAAGAGAAGGTACATTTAAAGGAATTCCAATTGTGATTTCCTATTTCCTAACAATTTCAGTTACTGTAATAAAAACTTGTTGCCATTGAGGGATGAACATCTTAGATTGACTGTTATGTTAACATATTTTGTTATTATTTGGGAGTGTTAGGTATCTGATCAGCAGGGGCATTTTCTCTACATAAGAAGAAAATGGAGACTCCCTACCCACCTGATGTATTTTGTCGGACAGTTTTCTGTACATTGCAGGTAAATTTTTTATTTATTAACTTTCCAGCCTCTTATTGTATAGTACATTTTGGGGTTTGAAGTCAGTTTTTGCTTTTCTTTAATTTAAAAAAAAAAAAATTTTAAATTCTCCTTTTCTTAGAATAAAATTCAAAAAGTAGCTTCTCATTGTAATGTATAAGACTACAGACATTGAACTTTGATTTGTTATCAAAAGGATTGATTTAAACTTGTCTAAATTAATTGTAAACAAAAATAAAAGGGGGCACCTGCTATTTCTTTAAGTGTTTTTCACTGGGGGGTGGGGAAACTTTTTTGTACATACTTAAGCAATAGGAGGGATTAGATAAGAATCAATTAGTATATCAGAGTCTTAAATAATATACTTTGCATAAGCATAAAAAAATTCTATATCAGTCTTTTTAAAACCTTTGAATTTTGCTTAATTAACTATGATTTATCCAATTTTGGAGCTTTTTACCTAATTCTGGGTAGAATCCACCCTTATGAAATTATTGACTCAATTTTGACTTAATATCACTTTATTAACATTAAAGCACAAAAACAATTCATTGTACAAATATTTTATTTATTACAGTCACCAATATATCCAAATATCATCACCGGCCCAGACGTCATTCACTCCTTTGAATTGTGCTGGTAGCAGTAAGGTGTCATCATTTGAGATGGTCACAGTATCCAATACACTGAAGTCACAGGACTCAAATTTCATACATGTTCACAGGTAGGTGTATAGTCTTTGAAATTACCACAATTGACTAATTCTGGGACAGGTAAGTATGTAAGTATAGGAATGAGAGCACCAAATCCCCGGATGCACACATGGCTTTGTTTGTTATGGAACATTAAACCGAATACTGAATGGGTAGGCGTTACGCCATTGGCTGAAATCAGGTATTTAATTGTTTTCATTTTAAAGTAAAATTAATGACCTTTGAAATAAATGATGGGATGAGGGAATATTACAGAAACTATAGAAATGCCAGGGAAGATTTTAGGAGTGGGGGTTGATTTTTTATGCCGCGTGTTATTTACTGCGAATCTCTATAAGTTGAAAATAACTGCAATTTTGACCTATAAACTCCATGGGACCATATATTTTTTTCAGTATTTTTTGTTAGGGCTTAGAACAAAGTTTGAAATGATGCTAAAGATTTTTCTGAAATTGTCATAGTAAAGTACTGAGAGGGCCTAAGGTTTGTATGGAGTTCTATGGGAAAATAATTGGTGGTCTTTTCCCTATACAAGATGCTGTCTGATGGCGTAGTGTAGAATGTAGCGTAGAATGTTTTCCAAGTCAGCTTAAATGCAAAGGTTTGTTTTAAAATTTATCATAATGACTTGCAAAAATTTAATGCAGTTAAATTTATTGTATTCTTGAAAGATTGACTGTAACACAATTTTTTTACACAATTACAAATAATCAAATTAATTTTTTTCCAACTTTTTTTCAGGGTCTCTGCCAAAATCTTTTGAGGATTTTTCCTCTGCTAGAGCATCCATGGATGCAATTGAAACAACCCAGGACATCCCAACACATATGGATAATCAGGCCATGGCCTACAGTATGTACAAAAGTTGCCATACTTTTAAAGCAGTAACTTGCGCGCTTCCAAATGGTGCACTTACATTTTGCTCCATGCTGTACCCAGGTTCTACTTCTGATGTAGCTATTGTACGTCACAGCCAAGTTTTACGAAAGTTCAAAGCTGGAGACCTTATTTTGGTGGTCAAAGGTTTCACCATTCATGACCAGTTGCCCCAGGGTGTCTGCTTAATTATAAAAGCTCTTTTATCGACACGAGGCCAGTTTACCATACAAGAAGCAGCACTGTGTTACAAGATTGCTAAAGCACTTATTCATGTGGAAAGAGCCAACGAGAGGATAAAGAATTATATTCTCCGTCACATACCATCTACTTACAGACCAATCTCAACAAAAATATTTCAACTCTGTTCTTGTCTTGTAAACTTGCAAGCTCCACTTTTGAAAGAAATTACTTAAAGATACATGTACTTATTATAAATTTGCATTGGCGTGTGACAGTATACACTAAACAGTGAAGATATTCATACCAAAGTGCAAGGGATAAGCAAATTTTGATTTGTTATCAATGTCAATGGTTATATTTGTTAACTTTGTAGTATGTTGTATGTTGTAATACATGTACTTATTACAGAAATATAAAATCCCTTTTGTTAGCATGGATTTATTACAAGAATGTTTGGCAATTCCATTATAGACTGCTTAAGCGAATATTGAAATTTACTGGAAAATTGGTCTTATCCTTGGGAAAATTCCTATAAACGAAAAAAAAAAAAAGAAATTGTCCACTCAAACATCGCTGGCGGTACTTTCTTTTTGAATTCCCATGCTTTCTGATAGGCGTAACTGACCAAACTGACCGCGTGCTATCAGTAGCCGTGAAATCTGTCCCATTGCCCGACGCCCGGGGCTATTTGTATGATTAATTCAGCATTTGCCTTCCTCTTTTTTTGAAAAAATATCTATAAATATTAAATACACAATATAAGAATACATGTACTTCCTTTTGTTAGCATGGATTTATTACAAGAATGTTTGGCAATTCCATTCTTCATTTGACAATATAATAATTTTAAATCTCTAGTTTAAAGTATATTTACCTTTAAAGCACAACTCAACAAATTCATGTTTTCAACAATTTATCTATTAAGAAAGACAAAAATGTTACATTTTCACTTTGAGAATAACATCTTCAATTCATTAATAAAATGATTCTAAATTTTGATATTCTTTTTTTATGTAGTACATAGATTTTATTAATCATCATTGCTATTTAAAATAGTCTTATAAGCCAGAAGTTTTATGATGGATTATGACATATCATATCATACATTTATGAGACTTAGGAACATTCAACACATTTAACATGATTACCCATTTTCCATTGTTAGAAAATTCTAGAGGTACAAAACTAAGTGTCAAGAAGTTCAAACTAGAACTCAGTTTTCCATCAGTGCTGGAATGAAAATGTTAATGTAGAAATCTATCAGCTTTGGAACATTTGCTGTCCATTCAATGTCTTTTACTATTCTAATCACAATGCAGTCTACTCTTGTCCACACAATTAAGTCGCAGAATGTTTTGTTACATATGTGTAGCTGGCCTTGAATTTGATGATAGTATGGGTGACTGGTTTTCAGGCACAGGGTATCTTGTTTAAGATCTAAAAAAAAATCAAAAAACACTTAAGTTGTGTTATACCAGTACATATCCCCTCCTTTTTCAATATCTTCATACCATATTGAACAGCTGCACTTGTAAATAAATACATGTTTTGAAATCATTTACTCACCAAGATTTTTAATTTCAAAGTACTGGACAATACAGATTTTTAATGTTATTTACCTATGAAAAATCCTTCAAATTTTGTGCCCCATCTGCTACTGTTGAAGACGATGCTGTGTATGGACACTTCACCTCTACAATATCAGGAATGGCGTCTTTGGCTTCTGGAGTTTGATAAAATACACTGCATGTTGGTGGTCGAACAACTAAGCCATCAGGTGAAGCTCCCAACACTCCAGATTCATGCAACCATATCCTTTTCAGAAAAAATTATAATACTACTGAATGCAAACAAACCATAATACAATTGATTTTGTAATGCAAACAAAGTCTAAGTAGAGCTTTTATAATCCTTCCACTTCAAAAAGCAAATTTTCTGGAATATGTTGGTAACTGAATATTTATGCCCCGCCATGAATATGGCCGGGGCATATGGTGTTTGTCATGTCCGTCTTCCGTCCTTCCCGTCCCACTTTGTGTTTAGCTCTGTTCAAAGCTAAGTTTCAAAGAAACTATCCAAGATATTTTCATCAAACTTCATATGCTGATAGATATTGATGAGAGCTATGCAACTGCATCAACATTTTTTGACCTTGACCTTTCCTTTGACCTTGACCTGACTTTTCTTAAATAGTGTTTAGCTCAGTTTTAAACATACCATTCAAGATGGTGTTATCAAACTTTACATGTTGATACAAACTTGCATAGATGATGCATCTAGAGATGAACACTACCGGACTTGCTTCGGATGCTGGATCTGACCTACATTTTCCAGATGAGTGACCAAATTCAAGTTTTTGGAGCAGGTCCATTCTTAAGGAACTATAAGCCCTACTTAGACCAAACTTGCTTGGATGATGCATCTAAGGATGGACACTACCAGACTTGCTTCGGATGCTGGATCTGACCTACATTTTCCAGATGAGTGACCAGGTTGAAGTTTTTGGAGCAGATTTATTCCTAAGGAACTATTAGCCCTACTTGACCAAACTTGCATGGATGATGCATCTAGGGATGGACACTACCAGACTTGCTTCGGATGCTGGATCTGACTTACATTTTCATTCCCAAGTAACTATAAGCCCTACCTAAACCAAACTTGCATGGATGATGCAGCTAGGGATGGACACTACCAGACTTGCTTCTGATGCTGGATCTGACCTATTTTTTCATTCCCAAGTAACTATAAACCCTACCTGAACCAAACTTGCATGGATGATGCATCTAGGGATGGACACTACCAGACTTGCTTTGGATGCTGGACCTACATTTTTATTCCCAACTAACTATAAGCCCTGCCTGAACCAAACTGATCAAATTTTATACATATACAAATTTCATGTTGCTTTACTAATATATCCTTGGCGGGGCATTCATGTCCTATGGACATATTTCTAGTTTTTTTTTACAATTAGACTTCAGTAATTGATTTCTGTTTGTCACCAGGATAAGTCCTGTTATTTGTTTTGACACATTGAATGTTAACATGTAAGAGGTTGAATGAATGTTATTTTGTGCTGTATACCTGACTGCTCTACAGCTGCATCAAAGTCCTTTTTCATACTTTCTCAAAGCATCATCTTCATGAGTGATACCCCATGCAACAGCCTTGATGGACTCCAGATTGTAAGCCGACATCAGCTGTTTCTTCAGTGACAATGTCAATCTGGAGAAGAAAATATGATTTTTGGTTATTAATCTTATATTTCCTGCATCTTTATGTACAAATATCTAGTCATTACAGTCGAACCTCATTATCTCAAACTCAATGAGACCAAGAAAAATGTTTGAAATATCCGTGGATTCAAGAATAATACATAAAGAGTTATCAAGAATAAAATGTCCCAGTCTTTTATAAATGGTTTGCACTTCAAAATTACTTTGACATATCCATGAAATATGAGATAATGGGTTTGAGATAACAAAGTTTGACTGTAATTTTAAAAGTCTTTTTCGCAAAAATTTAATCACACGTCTTACCGCCTTTGCTTAGAACTGAGAACTGCACCAAAGTTGGAAGCTGATATGCTATATTTCCTTACAATCGACCACATTGGGTTGTTTCGTTGCCAATGCAGCTCTTTTAATGGATTCAGGGATAATGCATGCTGTAACCATACCATAGGGGTATCAGAATGAACATACTCTGGTGATGTTAACAGGTCTTCAATGAGAGGTACAGGTGGACCAGGTTCACATGGCTCTGGTTCAAGAATCCAATTCAATGCTGAAAAATTTCATTACTTGTGTCATTCTCAAAAATATCATCCATAATATCCATATCACATATACCAAGTATTTATATAAGAGTCCATACATTTCATTTTAGTGAACACTGTCATGGGTTTTTGTAATGTATGCATTACATATCAAATTTACAACTCACTTGCATATATTTGTTCAGAATTGTTCCTGTATATAATTTTGCACGTGGCATTCTTAGTGTGAAAATGCCATGTAAAAATTGGTGCAAATGTAAATGTACAATTAATATTTACTTAATTATTAACAAGGTTTCATAATGACAGAGTATTTAAATAATAGAAGAATGATCTGATAATTCGCAAGAATATGAAACAAAATATTTTTTTTAATGCAATTGAATAATTTATTTTTCCTTTCAAAAATGTATGCTCATGTACAAAAATGCTATCATATTTATAATATTGTCTTTCCAATTATTCAAAGGTTGTTATTAATATTTATTACATAGTATGTTCAAAAATTGGGCATTATTAAAATTAACCATCGGTCAGTAACAAAATAACAGTTTCATAATACTCGTAATATAAAAATCAAATCAAACTTAAATAACAACAATAGTAACACCAAAATCATAACTTCCTTCTTATATTTTACCAATATACCTTCCAAGGTGCAAAAAACACTCGTCACTTTCATCAAAGGGTCGGTTTAAAGCACTTCAAATATGAAGCAAATTTTTTAACAACTGATTTATTTATACATGTATAATGATTGATCATTTTTAAAAAAAAAAAAAAAAAAAACAAGAGGCCCATGGGCCACATCGCTCACCTGAGCACTGTGGCTAGGAAAAAGTAAAAATTGGTTTTTTATTGAAAAGTTTAAATCCAAAAGTAGTCCCTTGACCAATCATGGCTTTGCTTTTCTTGAGAAGGTTATTTTTAAAGAATTTTCCTATATATTTCTATATAAAATTTGATCATCCTTTGTGGCCCCGTCCTACCCCCGGGGGACATGAGTTGAACAAACTTGAATCTACACTACCTAAGGATGCTTCCATATAAATATGATCAATCAGGGTTTTGCTGTTCTTGAGAAGAAGATTTTTAAAGATTTTTCCTTTATATTTCTATGTAAAACTTTGATCTTCCATTGTGGCCCCGCCCTACCCCGGGGGTTATGATTTGAACAAACTTGAATCGACACTACCTGAGGATGCTTCCATATATATAGGATCAATTATGGCTTTGTCATTCTTGAGAAGATTTTTAAAGAATTTTCCTATATATTTTTATGTTACACTTTGGTCAGCCATTGTGGCTCCGCCCTACCCCCGGGGGTCATGATTTGAACAAATTTAAATCTACACTACCTGAGGATGTTTCTCCATAAGTTTCATTTTTCCTGGCACAGTGGTTCTTGAGAACAAGATTTTTAAAACATACCATCAAATTTTCATTAATTCCCAATTATCTCCCCTTGAATGAGGGTGTGGCCCTTTATTTAAACAAACTTGAATCCCCTTCACCCAAGGATGCTTTGTGGCAAGTTTGGGTGAAATTAGTCCATAGGTTCTAGAGAAGAAGTCGAAAATATGAAAAGTTTACAGACAGACAGATGGACAGACGGACAGACAAACAGCTAGATAGACAAAATGTGATCAGAAAAGAGCTAGAAATGAAACATTCCTCACCACAAAAGCCAGAAGAATATAGGGACCACCACCAGTAACATGTTTCTGGGAAGAACCAAACCATGCAGAGATAAATATCAATAGTCCTGAATCTTCGATGCAGGACCAAGTACGAGAATTGCTACAAACACTACTCCGGAGACTTACCTATTATCCTATGATGTAACGTACTTTGTCCACTGCAGCTGGTTCCCTGATAAGCTGGTAGCGAGGACAGTTCAGGATGTCCTGTCAACTTTATTCCTCAACTTCCTGTCTTGGACTGAAAAGCAATAAGTGGAAATCTTTAGTGTTGCCTAGTGACTTTGAATTAAAAAGAAAGTTGCAAGATTGTGAAGGGGGGGGTACTGATGCTGTGCATTTTAATTAAATGTACGAAATCTGTATTTCACAATTTAATGCATTCATGTATTTTGTGAATTGTCTTAGGATTCATGTAATAATTGTTGCTATGTATTATTAAGCACTAAATCTATTCAACTGCATGTGTAAATGGGGAAAATGTGGATATATAAATGATGTATAATTGCAATGTGTAAAATGTGACATTTTCTTATATGAGGGAGTCTGTTCATGTAATTTTTTTTTCATTAATTATTTTATTTATCTTGATAAAATTATTTCAATTAACAATATTGTTTTTCTTACCAGTCTGATGAACTCAACAAAGGTTACAGAGGTGAATGGTAGAAATATGGGTATTACAGGTGTCAAAACTCTTCGTTGATGACCAGACTGCATGCCGCACTGTAAAATCACCATTTTGGATCTTTAAAAGGGGAGGCTACTCCTGAAATCAAAGAAATTGTCATAAAAATGAGTAACCTGATTTTCTTTAGGTCTCACACAAGGAAATAATTTCACTATATGTTACTATATAGCTTTAATTAAATAAATTAATTAACTAGACTCTCAGCAGATAATTCATGAATGAGAAAAAAGATTAATGCTTAGACAAAATTTGAGATCAGAAAAAATATACCCCTTATGTGGCTTTTAAGAAACAAAATTGAGAGTAAACATACCTATACCCCGAAATACACATGGGCAAACAGCCAACACACCATCGAGGAAGTTACATCGATCATGCGTACCTAAAAAAAAAGAGTTCCCTTTGATTCAGTGGCACAATTCTGCTGATATGATATTCCTAGTGCATGAGTCCAAAATTAAAACTGTAGACCTACGTAAAGTTCCTGAAAATGAAAAAAGAAAAGAAATATTGTTGTCTCTATATACATCATACATAGAACTACATTTGTTCATTTTAATTAGCTATCTCCTTGCATAAGACCTTTAAGGGTAATTTTATGCTATTTACCATGTGCACTGATTGCCATAAAACTAAAGAAAAAATACCAGCCTTACAAAGTCACTTAACCATGACCTTTGACATACCTTACTAAGAATACCCTGGACAATTTGGTTTAACTTAAGACTTCTGAATTTTTAAATGCAGGTTTTGATAAATTAACCATTTAATATACTTATGAGCTCATAAAACTGTTCTTTAAAACTGTATGATAAAGAGTGTAAAAACTTTGAAACATGTTTGGAAAGTATGATCACACATGTGAATTGGGATAAATTATCACCACAGAAAGATCAAAGAAAATCACTGCAGATATGCGACAATAATTCTTATCATTGTTTATTGTATGTCAAGTCTAGAATATGATATATCATTACAAATATTATGATTTTTAGCCGGGCACATTGCTCGTAGAGCAATGCTCAGCTATTGCGACGGTGAGCAACAGAAAATGCTGCTTCTTCACCGCCAAATTGAGTTTACGAGTAAAAGTATGGTACGTGCACCAGCCGCTGTTGAGAAAACAAAATCCATTCAACACCTTAAGAAATAGTAAATTGAATATTTTTATCATAATATTAAATTGTTTAATATTTTTTCCTGGCTCCTTTGACTAATATTTTACAAAGTAATTCAACAGGTGCGAAAGGTTTTCACCAGGTATCCCTGTCTGCATCATATTCTATAAACAATATAATTAAAATTAGATGTTAGATCCGCTCGCATTCTCGCCACACTAACATCTAACAAGTCATCCCATTGAGGGTCACGTAAGAGGTTAAATTTGGAACACCTCAAGATTTATTCGCTTCAACAATATATGATGATTTTGCCAGCTGCGATGTGATTAATTGATAGAATTTGACCTCTGACGTGACCCTCAACGGGATGTTGTTAGATGTTAGTGTAGCGAGTATGCAAGCGGATCTAACATCTAATTTGAATTAGATTGATTCTATAAATAAAGGTTGTACTATCAGGCTAACACAAATGCAGGGAACATCATTAATGACTTGATGCAAATCTCCCCGCTGAGGACACATCAGTGCAGAGACGTTTGATCTTAATCTTGCTGCATCGGTGTTTATTTACTTCTGTTTGTATATAAAACCGGATTACCCCGAAACGATACGTGATCAATATTTTTCGCTGTTAATTTCTAGCTATATTTTATTTTATTTTTAAAACTATTTAATATTATGCATGCCATTGAGATATTTTTGTGTGTATTACATATTCTCTAAACGTCTGAACGTGATTTTTAAACTGTCACCTTAGTCCTTGTTCATTATCCTGTAAATGAGCCCGGCTCAATACATTTACTATAAAAATAATTGGACAAATTTGTGAATGACAATATTCAATGATGCATAGCAATTAATCTTTTCCTGACATTCACCTTCTCCTAAAAATTTGTCGTGTTATTTATTTATTTATTGCAAAGTCGTCCCTGGACTAGTGCTACGGTCAATGCAGCTGCAATGGGCCATGCAATTTCGAACCCTGCGTGGTGAGAGTTTGTCCCGAGACACAGTTAGATTATTCTAACTAGCACCAAATATTATAGAATAAATCATACCGATTAATCAACATCACTACAATATGAGGACGTAAAAATAGGATAAAACATCCTTTAGTCCAGCAATAAACCACTAAATTGTTTTTGATGTACCTTCAACTGTTCAAACAAATCAAATTAATGTTCTTGATTCCCACTTTTCACGTTATGACTGACTTAGTGCTTCTTGATACCAAAACAATTTTTCTATTACCTATAATTTTGACTTTAGGTTGAATTCGCCAATTTCATGCTTGCGAAGTTGTGTCAATGTGTGCATTACGACCGCTCCGGCTACTTTCGTTATTTCTAACCAATGAAAATTGTCCTTACTTTTCTGTTGCGTCATGCACTTTTATTGCACGCATCACTGAATTGTAGAACACACATCACAAGATTTCGAATATACATCACAAGATTATCGAACATACATCACAAGATTTCGAACATACATCACAAGATTATCGAACATACATCACAAGATTTCGAATATACATCACAAGATTTCGAACATACATCACAAGATTATAGAATATACATCACAAGATTTCGAATATACATCACAAGATATTGAATATACATCACAAGACTTCGAACATACATCACAAGATATTGAATATACATCACAAGATTATAGAATATACATCACAAGATTTCGAACATACATCACAAGATTATAGAATATACATCACAAGTTTTAGAATATACATCACAAGATATTGAATATACATCACAAGATTATCGAACATACATCACAAGATTTCGAATATACATCACAAGATTTCGAACATACATCACAAGATTATAGAATATACATCACAAGATTTCGAACATACATCACAAGACTATAGAATATACATCACAAGTTTTAGAATATACATCACAAGATATTGAATATACATCACAAGATTTTGAACATACATCACAAGATTTTGAATATACATCACAAGATTTCGAACATACATCACAAGATTTTGAATATACATCACAAGATTTTGAATATACATCACAAGATTTTGAATATACATCACAAGATTTCGAACATACATCACAAGATTTTGAATATACATCACAAGATTATCAAATATTGCAACGTTTGACATGCCATAAAGAAACATTAACTGAAATATGTCACATTTAGAGCAATCAATGCCTGTTTTATAGACAAAAGAGCAGGTGGATTTCAATGATAAAAAATTTTATAATGGGCATCAAAATTGGGTACCCTCCTTGCCAACAAAAATTATAACAACTCATGTGCTGTTCGCCAAATTTCAACAAATAATATTTGATGTAGAATGATTGACTTCAAGACACATAGCAAATTTGATAGAGATCACATCGGGGGTAGTTTACACAGTATTTAAGAAACGTTTGGCGGTAAAAAAGCTTGATACTCAAAGGTCACCCTATATTTTGAAAAATGAGTGAAAATGAGTGTGTACGATATTCTTTACAATTATTAAAAAAACTAGTAATTGTTGTTATCCACGTTTGTTTTATTTTCAAACAGATATTGGAACGTGAATCTATCGCTTAAAACCCTCAAAACAAAATTTACCATTAAGATGTACTTGGTAAAAACGGCGAATGTCTGAAAAGTGCACAGGTATGCAAGAGCACAAAGACAGATATATATGTAATTTTCTTAAATATTAGTGGTTATGCTGTTCAAAATCGTATTTGGAGAGCCAGTTTAATTTCTGGAGGAGTCTAGAGGGCACTTTTTGGCAAAGAAATCAAAAGGTTTATTAGAGGTAGGACCCAAAATCAGGAATCCACTACATTGAATTTTTTCAAGACAGCGTCCAAACCAGCATGCCTTGAAGAGTAAAGGGGTTTTCGGGATAAACAGAAAGTTAATGTTTTTTCGCATTAACAATATTTGCAAAATCTTTGACCTCTTGACTTGTTTCAATTTGCAAACTTGGAAAAAAATACCTTTTAGAAGGAAGAAACAAGTCCGGGAAATCATTGAATCTGCCATTTTCCAGTATACTGAGGGACATACCCAAATATGAGTTCTACAAACGATAAAAAATTGGATAAAAAATGTTACGGGCATGTATTGTACTAAAAAGAGATTAATTGATAAAATCATGAAGAATATATAATTGAAAAGCGTCTTTTACTTCTTTCTGAGCACCGAGGACATTATTTATTGAACAGCCCTCGTATTACCCAGTTAATTTGTCTACCTTTTTTGGTGAAGATTTATTTTGTCTTGCTCGAAGTTGAAAAAAAAAAACAAAAAAACAAGATTTGTCTATAAAACACTGATGCCCCCATATGACAGCTTTGGCGAATGTTGTGGTTACTCAAATGCAAGTCAAACTCCAAGGTCAAGGAATGAAAAACGTTGTTACCAATAGAAAAGATTTGTTCTCAATAAATAAACACGTCAAACATGAAAGTCCCCAGACCTAACCAATATAAAATTATGGCCAAGTTTTTATTTATTGATTTTTTTGAAAATGTATGTCAACTCTGAGGTCAAGGTCAAAGTAAAGGTACCCACGGAATATATTTGCTAATAAATTTTGGTTGAGAAACTAGTTTTGAGGAATGCATTACCTGTGACAAGGTGTTTACGTTTAATTTTTGACCCATTGACCCTGACTTTCATATTTGATCTTATTTATAAGACACACTCTTGGTCATATTTTTGAATTTCATTTGTTAAGGGCGTTCACATTGAATAGTATATTACCTTTGTCAAAATGCTTTCAGATGTGCTATTATATTTGTCCCCGTGACCTTGACCGTCAGTCTGACTTAATTTTCATACATTTCATCATTGTTGCTAACGAGAGCTTCCATCCACTTAGTCATCAGAAATGGGAGACTACAATTCTTAAAGCTTAATCTATGCAAATTTTTATCCCCCCCCCCCCATTCGAAGAAGGGAGGGCATATTGCTTTGCTGCTGTCTGTCGGTAGGTCTGTCTGTCAGCCGGTCGGTCTGTCTCACGGTCCACTTAGTTTCCGTTCATTTTCTTCGCAACCGTTGCACATACTGAAATGAAATTTAATATACAGATATATCACATGAATATCTAGGTCAAGTTCTATTTTGGGTACGATCGCACCATTTTTGGTAGAGTTATGCCCCTTGGACTTGGAAAAATTTCAATTCTTTGCAGTTTCGGTTCATTTTCTTTGCAACCGTTGCACATACTGTAATGAAATTTGGTATACAGATATATCACATTAATATGTAGGTCAAGTTTTGTTTTGGGTACGATCGCGCCATTTTTGACAGAGTTATGCCCCTTGGACTTAGAAAAATTTCAATTATTTGCTGTTTCCGTTCATTTTCTTCACAACCGTTGCATATACTGAGAGGAAATTTAGTATACAAATTTATCACATGACTATCTTGGTCAAGTTCTGTTTTGGGTTCAATCGCGTCATTTTTGACAGAGTTATGCCCTTTTGCACTTGGAAAAATTCCATTTTGGGGGGGGGGGCATAATTGTTTTACAAACATCTCTTGTATCTCTTAAATTCTGCTTTATTGATCGACTTTTAAATCAAACACAAAATAAACACAACACAACCTTGTTAGGGGTGCACATGTACTTTTAAAATGTTGATCTTTTTTTATTACTAGCCATAAAAAGGTTTTATTTTGTCCATATTCATACGTCAATAGACTCACCTATAGGTCTTGTTTAAAATTTAAATCCTATACCGACTTGCGTAATAATCTGTCTAAAATTACCGTTTATCTGTCAATGAAATGAAAAAAAATTGAGTCAACCGTGGGCTGTACAAGTTCCGAGTCTTTATTTTTCAAATACGCCCTTTTGTTCTCGGTAAGGATAGGGGATAATATTATATACCACATAGTTAATTTATGGATCACCCAAGGTTTTCGGATTTTTACCCATTATACTACACATTCAACAGGGTAGATCGTAAGAAAAAATAAATGAGAAGAAATTAAGGAAATTTTGGGTAGATATGCAACGATTTATGGCTCTTTTTATTATGAAGATCTATAATATAGACTGAAATTTTCAACTGAAATATAATTAAAATCAACACAATGTTTGAATTTGAAAAAAAAAAAATCGTATGGATAAAAAATAGGACCATAAAAACTGTTTTGAAACATTTGATCTAATTGTAGTGCATCACTACAATGAAATTTTACGCGTAATTCTCTAAAGTTTGAAGAAACCATAAATTTTCTTTTATTCGTCAAATGTTAAATCTTTCTTTATGTTTTACATGATCGCAGTTGTTGACTCTCTAAAGGACGTACATGTAGGTCGGTTAAATTCCTATTCGAGACAAATTTTTCTTTATACCTGTGAAAGATACACATGTAAAAGGTTCATGGTAATATAAAAAAAGGGGTGCAGCACATCGCACAGTGTTTAGAAATAAAGAAACGAACTTTTCTCAGGAGAAATCCTTCATTCATTCATAAATGTGGGATCTCATTGATTAAAGCACACGTACAGGTAAGAGAATTTTTTTTTCTGATAAATAAGAAGCTCCCCAGTTTAGGTCAGAATCTATCAGCAGATTTCTTTATCAGGCACCTGCATGTATTCAGTGTTTGCAAATTGATTTTTTGTTTATTTTGAAGAATGTTGACATAGAGTAAATCTCTCTCTCTCTCTCTCTCTCTCTCGGTAATGCATTTCGTGCATCTATTACTATCACTATTATTCATTCTTCTCCATCAAATAAATAGCATGAAAGCCTTGAAGCAAATTCAGACGACTTTTCTCAAAAGATTTGAATGTAAATTGAAAAATACATTTAGACTCGTGTCGCATTAATTGCAGACGCTCTCAAAACGACCAACGAATAGAAAGGAGACTATTTTGTCATCTCTCTCTGTTGATTTTTCCCCTTACCTGTTAACTAGAACATATAAATGAACCTTCATCGTTATCTCTCTCTCTTCTTATATCTATCTCTTTTCCTAAAACTCTCTCTCTCCTCTCTCTCTCTCCCTTCTCTCTCTCCCACATACAATTACTACAGACTTCAAGGTTTACCTCCCCAGGACAGATAATACATGTATGACAAGGAATGCCATGTAAAAAGAATTAATTTGACGACCTGCCAAGCGGAATATAATCTGTCAGCGTCCAGTCCGATTTGTTTTCATCTAAAACTGTCGGCCAAATAGGCCCGTCGGTAAATTGATACAAATGTTAATAAAAAAATCCTTAAAAGAAGTTTCATTTTGAAGTGTCTTTTCCCCATAATCGGACAACATAAATGCTTTAAACAATATCGAGATGAGGTACCAAGGGCCACCTTTAAAGACTTTTCGGTGCTATTTTTAGCCAATCAATTTAATTCGGTCAGGTTGGGGAGTGGCATACTTGACATGAAAAAAAAATCTTTAAAAGCCATTAAATGATTTTAAAAGCAGATGCATATTGGGTTTACTTGACCGAAAGACTTGATGTATCGTTTCACAATACATCAAATGAACGTCTGTATAGTGACGTGTTTTGTACTGCAATGAATTTTACTTTTTTCCCCTCATATTTTCAACTGCAGGTTTATAGAAACTTTTAATATCTTTGCGAAACTTGATACAATAAATTTAGCGATAGAATAACAGAAGATAATTTTTCTAATGATATTATTTACATAATCGAAAAAAATCTATTCAATTCAGATATATATCTATAACATTATACAAGATACAGGTATATGATACAATTACGGACAGGTGTTGAATATATAGTTTGTCATTCACAAGAAAAATATCAATTTTGACCGAAGTGAAGTCTAGTTAAATGTCGCATTATTACAGACAAATGCAGTTTTTTTTTTAAATTCACATGCAAGATTTGTTCCTTCTTACAGTTTTACATTCATGTAGAAATGAAGACGTACAGGTTCTTTTGCATATGGGGAGATATGGATCTGTAGGCCTGATACGGATTTATATCACACCTCTGGTGCATTAAACCCTAAATAGAGCTCTTTGAAGAATTATCAGTATAGTGCATCATTTTTATTTGCACATTCTCAAGTACGTGCTACACATAGGCGTCGGAACCGGGGGGGGGGGGGGGGGCTTTTTTTTTACAAATATATACATAATATAGGCATTGAAAATTTTTGTTGGTTTATCCCCCCCCCCCACTTTCAATTAGCCTCCTACTTTCAATTTGCTTCCGACGCCTATGCTACACGTTATTTCTAAGAAGGATTTTGTAATATCCTTCTATGAAAGCATAATAAAACACCTTTTTCGACATAAAGTCATGCAGCATAAATCAGGGTTTAGGCTGTCCAGTCCTATGGCCAATATTGGTGTTTCGGGCTGTTACAGGATGATATTCAGTCCAGCAGATCTATTTCAGCCCTGCAGGAATCGTATCAGCCTTGAAGCTGAAAAGTCTGTTGTAATGTCCTGGTATAGCGCATCAAGAAATAAGTTTACCCAATAAATTTCGATAGTATTCACTAAAAAGATAATATCTATTTTGCAAACATTATAAGCCTGCTTTTGTTTGCCCCCCCCCCTCCCCCTTTGCCCCGACTTGATCTGAAAATATTGAGTCGGTAGGAGGGTGCCAATTTTTTTTTCTCAGAAAAATTTCGATTTGGATGGTAGGTTTTTAAATTCTTTAATCCATAATACATGGAAAAATTTGCTTCTTGGAGGCTAAAAGGGTTTTGATTGGGGGGCATTTTTATCCAGTCGCTCGGAAAAAGGCAACCATTTTTTATTTCAAGATGCCCTTATAAATGCACCTATGTAGGAGTATTACTGAATTAAATTTACATGTAAACACATAAAAAAGAAATGAAAATTGTTTGGCTAAAACACATGTACCTTGCAGCCTTCATGAATATGCATAAGGTTATTTTGTTGTCTTTTTTTAATTCAGTCACAAGATCCTTTAGTGAATAAATATAAATAAATGTTATGGCCTTGAATTCATATCGTAAAACTATGAAGTTATTTGATTTTAATGTATATGGATTTAAAATTAAATCGCCATGATTCACCTAGTTTTGTTACATAGATAGCAAGGGATTAAGTATACTCTAAGTTTTTTTCTGAAAAAGGTTGGACAGATTTAAGGTAAGTACAATTAATAGGGTCTTAAACTGATAGGCTTCACGTTGCGATTTACACACAGGAGTATATGAATTAAATCTCGATCTATGTACACCTTTATGTAATGAATTTTAAAAAAAATTATGTCCCCTTATGAAAGATTCGGGGATATATTTTTTTTTTCCTCTCACCCCTGTCCGTCTGTCTGTCTGTTTGCCCGCCACAAAGAGTTTCACCTTTCCCATAACTTTTGACTAGGTGGAGCTATGGCTTTTATATTTCACAGCCGAATTCCTTGTGTCAAAAAACCTTTCATAGGGTACCACCGCATTTGATCTCTTGACCTTGTAGATTTTACCATAAACATCTGAATATAATCTCGGCTATAAATTTTGAACAGTTGGAGCTAGGGATTACCTAATTCACTTGTATTAGTTGTGAAATGACTTTCGATTGGTGCATGTACATGTACATTGACCTGGACCTTAAAATTTGACCAATTTAAAAAAAAAAAACTTTTATACCTTGACCTTAACTTTTTAACTGATAGTTCTAAGGCGTTCATGTTTCAGAGATGTATTCCTTGTGACAAAACCTGCCTTTGAAAATCAACAATTTTAACCTGTTGACCTTGACCTTGGAGTTTAAATTGCATAAGGGAAGCTTCAATCTTGGCTATAAGCTTCCATGCGGGGGCATCAATGATTCACAAACACACCTTATTTAGTTATGGGTTCTGGTAACACAGCAGTATATCTTAGAAGTGTGATTGGATTTTTTTATATAAGATTTTAAATATTACTTTTTTTCAGATAAAAGAGATACAGATTTTGACCACTGAGGACTTGTCACCATGATACGTTCGTTTGAAGCTTGGGACTATGTAATTTTTGCCATCTGTCTTGCTATTTCCCTCGGGATCGGAGTCTATCATGCTTTCTTTGCCGGAGGACAGAACACGACTGAAAAATATTACTATGGCAACCGAAATATGGGAGCGATTCCCGTAGCACTATCTATGCTTGTGACGTATCAATCGTCTATTTTCATGTTGGGATATCCCGGTGAAATGTACATATACGGATCCATGTTCTGGCTGAGTTTTATAGGCGTAGGACTCGGGTTCGTCCTTGTTGCGGCGTTCCTTGTTCCCCTTTTTCACCCTCTCAACATACGAAGTGCGTTTGAGGTAAACGAAACCTTCTTTAAGCTATAACATTTAGGAAATTGAATTCTTGAGCTTACATGTACGTTAAGGATCTGCATTTGCATAGTGCTTATCTTCTATCAAATGTACATGCATGCAACTTATTATTTCTATACATGTGTTAGACTAATAAAATCAGAAATAAAATAGCGAAAAACATATTAAGCCAAAAAATTACGGGAAGGTGAGAAATTGAAATTAATAAACTCTCAAATGTCATCTATATTTCAATTTGTTATCTTTTCTTTGTTTAAAAGTCATACAATAACAAATTAGTTCTGGGCTATTTTTCACATATACAAATATTTTAAAAGTTATTACAATTTTCCTCTATTTTGAGCTTATTTTAATTATTGCTTTCTCTCTTTTCTTTCAAGTACTTAGAACTACGATACAAGAGCAAGGCGCCAAGACTTTTAGCATCGTTTATGAGCATTATACTGTATGTGAGTAAAACTCTTTTCTTGAGAATTCATTTCAGAAACTGTTTGTGTCACGACCTTTACAATTATTTACGCCTTTTACGGTACATGTAGGTGTTCAAGTAAAAACTCACTAATTCACGTTTTTAAAGAATTATTTAAACAAACATACATGGTGGATTAAAATTAGATTTGGTGGGAAAATTGAACTTTATGAGGACGAAGGGAAGAAAAGGGGTGAGAGTAGTTGTATAATTTCTGGAATTAGGAGTTTTATAAATGTATAAACAAATTAAATCTAAATTGTTTTTGATCATTAAATGCCATATACATGTATATGTCATAATCCATTGATCTGTTACAGGTCATATTTATGGGCCTAGTTGTATATGGTCCAGCGATTACATTAAAAACAGGTAAATCTCTCTCTCTCTATCCCTCTCTTTATCTCTCTCTCTTTATATCTCTCGCTCTTTATCTCTCTCTCTCTCTCTCTCTCTCTCTCTTATGCATTTTGTTCCGAGCGTTGGAAATGATGTTTTCTTCATAAGAGTTGTAAAAATCGCGTCAAAAAATCAAGTGTTTTCGTGAATACATAAAATTCCAGCAATATGTTGCACTGTTTTAACCCTGTTTTGCTTGCTAGTTTCTTTGAAAGCACATTTGTTTGCAGCTGATTTTTTTCTTCAATCTTTTTTTTTATTACCTTTAGTCACACAGTTCCCCCTTTGGGCCTCAATGCTCCTCGTCGCTGCCGGTGGAGTGTTTTACACATCAATCGTAAGATGTCTGTTTTCTTGTATTTTTATTTGGCACACGCTTCCATATGCACCATATAATTTTCTAATTTAACTTTTATGTTACATTAAAAGTTTAGACTTCATCAAGTTAAACTTCAGGCACGTAGCATCGTTTTTGAAAGTGGGGGGGGGGCAACCAGAGACAATTTTTTTACTTACTTGTAAAAGCTGACAAAAAAAAAAAAAAAAAAAAAAAAAAAAAGCCAACTTTTTTCAAGGCCAACTTCCTTTCACGTCCAATTTTGTTGGCATACAAAGCTACATTTCCTTGATATCACTATACTGTGGTAAGAAGTGGGGGGGGGGGGGGGGGCAACCAACCTTTCAATGGGCATTTCCTATAGTAAAGGCGTAAAGGTAATGTTGCTACGTGCATGAACTTATCTATAACAGTAGAGTGTTATAGATAAGTTTAATTTGAGAAAGTCTAAACTTTTAATGTAACATATATACCTCTTCAAATAAAAAAATGGGAGGTTGCTTTTCTGTTAGTTCTTCGTAAAGAGTTTTTCGCAATTTGTGTGTTTTTTTTAAAATATTTTTTTTAATGCAATAAAGGAATTATGTGTACATGAGTAATTTTATATTTCACTTCTTTAATTTTTTTTTTATTTCTTAATTATTTCTGAAGAAGAAATACTTGTCAATGATTAATTATTTCCACAGAATACAGGTTGAGTAGATGAGATAATGCAGTAATATTTAAAGAAATGCATATAAATGCTTTTAAAAGTATTCAATATGTTTTGCAAGAAATAAAAGGATTTCAATAAACTACAATAATTGCGCTTTTGATACAGTTCTGAATTAAGTCGCATTATTCTATATATGTATAAATTTCATAAAATCAAGATGAGTCGAAGATCTTTTTTTAATTCGTCTTCGCCAAAAAAGCGTAATATTTATCAAACGTCTTTCTTTTTTGACATAAAAATTAAAAAGGACAATAAACATCAAAACTCTCCTCTTTGATATTTATCTTCAAAGTTAAAAAAAACACGGTAAATTTAAGGAAAATATATTTTATGATATTTAGTTATTCACCACAAAGAGAATTATGATTATCTCATAACCCACACACTCATTAATTAATCATGATTCTTCGTCTTTCTCTTTTCAAGGGCGGATTCAAAGCAGTTATATGGGCGGACGTGTTTCAATCTATCATAATAATTATTGGGATATTCTCCATTCTTATACAAGTGAGTTATATAAATACAAATAATACCAACTTAAATCTAATCCGTGGGAGGATGAATTATTAGTATTCATTAATTTTTAGGAGTTTACTAGAAGCCGGAAGGGACCTGCGCATTTTAATGCGTGATTCAATCGAGACCTTATGAAACAAACAATTCTAACTGCTATATACGCAGATCCAAAGAGGCTCATATCCATGGATTTTTTTTTGGGGGGGGGGGGGCAGAATCTTAAAGACTCTCTAGACAAAACTCTTTTTTTCTTTTTGAAAATGTCATATGGGGGCCATGTATTTATATTAGTGAAGGTACATCTTTATTGATTTTTTTTCTCTGCCCCCTCCCCCATCCAAATTGGGATATGGAATTAAAATATCTTATCTTTGCACATACATGATATACATGTATAATAAGAAATAGAAACGATTCAAAAATAAAATGGTTAATTATTTTATAAAGATACAAGAAAATCTCAAAAAAGAGAAAAAAAATGCTGTGATGATATACAGAATGAGTATAGACCGAGGTTTTCCAGGCTTTTTCAGGATTTTGATATTTTATGTGAAACCCCTTAAAAAGCCTTGGAAAGCATATTTCTGACTATAAAGAGTGAGTTAAAATTGAATGCAGATTTTAAAATATCAAATGCATACCATCTCATGTCAGCAATATATAATCACAAATCAAACTGCATGTACCTTATTGATACGAATAAAAGCAAAAATATCACAGGCGGATTTAGATTACAATATTTGATAAATCAATGTGTTTTTGGTGTGGCTGTTGGTCCCTATCCTGACCTCAAACTGGTCGAGCCCCCCCCCCCCCTTTTTCAAAATTTCTGGATCCGCCACTGAATATGACTGATTATCGCCAGTATTTCGGCCATATTTCATCGGATCAAATTTTCCTGATTGGAATGTAATATACAAGCAAAGCGAGGTAACTCTCTACAGTTATACACGTGTAACTGACCTTGTAAAATTGCTTTATGGCTTAGTTCATTTATCTGCACACAAAAAAAAAAAGAAAAAAATTGTCAGAAATAATATATGACATAGTGCATTTGATTTGCGCCATATTTTTCAATTTTTCAATTTAACTTATTTTATTTTCTAAGGGTCTGATTAAAGTTGGTGGATCAAGCGAAGTATGGCGGATAAATGAAATGTATGGGCGGATCCAGTTTGATGAGTAAGTAATCTCACAATTCTATTCTGTTTCTGTTTTTTGCTTTTTTTATCGAATACCTAATAATTATATTCATTTCATAGATTATTAAAAGAAAATAAAAACAGAATAAAGATTTATTTTCCGTAAAAGCAAAACTTTTCAAAGTTTAAAGTTTTAACAGACACAAAGAACTAAAATATATTATCATATCTTAAAATAAATTTTAAAAGAATAGGAATAAGGTTAAATCCTTTATTAAGATAAGCACCGTAAACAAAATGTGTTATAAACAACATGAACAATAACGGGGTATACGTGTATTTTTCTGCATTTACATAAGTCTAACACATTTTAAAACATGGATATTATCATGATTATCAGTCAGGTTAATTTTTGTTATCGTTTGTATATACCTGTGATATTATCACAAACAGGATCATTGTCAATATTGCTTTATTTTTGAGATATTATGTCTATACCTATGTTAATTATTTACATCTTTAAATTTCAGATTCAGCCCTGACATCACTGTTAGACACACAGTCTGGGGCCTCGTCATTGGTAATATGATCCAGTTCTTCTCCCTGGGGTACAGTCAGATGATCGTTCAGAGAATCATGTCCACCCCAACCAGCAACAAGGCCGTACAGTACGTATACAAATCATGTCCACCCCGACAAGCAACAAAGCTGTACAGTACATATTTAAATCATGTCCACCCCAGAAATATCAAAGCAGTGCAGTACGTATAAATCATGTCCACCCCGACCAGCAGTAACGCTACATGTATACAGTATGTATACAAATCATGTCCACCCCAACTAGCAACAAAGCTAGTAAATATATGTATAAATCATGCCCACCCCAACTAAGCAGCACAGTACGTACATGTATAGAAATCATGTCCATCTCGAACCAGCGGTAAAGCCGTACAGTACGTATTTAAATCATGTCCTTCCGACCAGCAGTAAAACCGTACAGTGCGTATTTAAATCATATCCACCCCACAAGTAGCAAAGCTGTACAGTACGTTTATAAATAATGTCCAGCCCAACCAACAGAAAAGCCGTTCAGTACGTATACAAATCGTGTAAACCCCAACCAACAGTTAATCCGTACAATACGTATATAATTCATGTCCAGCCCAACCAACTGAAGAGCCGTACAGTACGTAAACATACATGTATATAGATAATGTCCACCCCCAGAAACAGTAAAGATGTAGAATACCTATGTTAATTATGTTCAACTCCTATCCTCAGTAACACACAGCACAGTACGTATATAAATTAAGTCCCCCTACCCTCAGTACAATAAGTATTTCAAACAGGTCCACGCTACTAGCAACAAAAAGGTACAGTAGGTATTTATCGCGTCCAACCCCCTTACAGCTGCGAATTTAAGTTGAACATGGAGTATAAATCACGCCCGCCCCAAACAACAGCAAGGTTGTACATTGTACAGTCATGACCTCCTCTAGGATCAATAAAGATATACAGAACGTATAAATCATTCTCACCACTAACCCTCAGTATCGTACAGTACTACATGTATACAAGATACAAGATATTTTATTTACCAATCAAGGGCCCCGAGGGGCATTTCAACATACATAAATGTACAATTTAAACATTCTCTCTTTTTTTTTATAACAATATAATTAATTTTTTTTGTATATATTTATCGACTGAGTTGGAAAGCAACATGCGTTTCCTAGGACCTAAGAACCAAATTATTTGCCTGAGGCCGAAAGGTTTGCTCAGACAGTTTGGTCTGAGGATCGACAAAACGCCCAACAAACAAAATTGTACCGTTTATACAAATTATGTTTGAAAGCACAGGCAGGAATTACAGCTGTACATCACGTTACTTATTGTTACTATAAACACCTATGAGTCAATGTTTAACTGAGAGTTTTTTTTTTCAGTTGAAGGGTTTATGCAAGCTAATTGTTGATTCGTTTGTGACCAATTATTTATTTCCAGTAGGCCCTATATATATAATTAATTATCAAAATTAACAGACTCCGTCTAAAAATTGCAAAAAGAACTGATTCTTTTCATAGAGCGTCCATATTTGCGATTCCCGGATTTGCTCTGTTTGGGTCCATTTCCTGTTTTCTGGGTTTGATGGCTTTCGCTTACAATGTCCAAAGAGGATGTGATCCACTGGCAAAGAATATAATTGTCAGACCAGAGCAGGTAACAATTAAAAATCAAAATTACCTTTCAAATCCTTATCAGAAAATGTAATATAACTTAATCCCCACTCTAAGAGTTGCTCTCTTAAACATCATTTACATAATTACGAAAATGTATTTTTTTAAAACTTTTTATGAATATCGATATTTTAAGCATAAATATGTCACTTATTAAACATGCAATCAGTATCTTAATGTTTTTTTTAATCTCTGAGCTACTAAAAGTCATAACTTTAAAGCAACAACAAGATACATGCATACGGTTTGTTTAAGGCCAATAAAATGAGTTTGATCACCCTTTTCAGGCTTTGCCATATTTTGTGATGGATATATTCGACAACATAGTTGCTATGCCGGGGGTGTTCCTTGCAGCCCTATTCAGTGCTTCTTTAAGGTTTGTTTCTCTTTTCTAAAACTTTCTGCATCTAGATTTCCTAGAAAATGAGGATCACATTTTTCGTTATTAAAGATGCACAGTCATCTAATGATAAAACTCCATCTAATATTGATTTTTCAAAAGAAAAAAAATAATTCGTCCTATAGCTAATTCTAAAGGTCCAATATTTTTTCCAGTAATTTTATTTTCTTTTGATGATCGTTTAATGCACGAATGCGTTATTTTGTTGAATTTGTAAATTAAACCACTCGTATTTTCAGTGAATTTAATCTAATGTTTAACGTCAGTGTCCTAAAGATAATATATTTTTTTAGATGAATTATTAAGAAGACCTTTAACAAAGAACACGATTTGATTCGTCCAAGTGAAATCTTTCTTTCATATAAATGTTCCTTCTATTTTCAGTACACTCTCTTCCGGTCTCAACAGCTTACCAACGATAATTTGGGAAGATTTCATCAAACCTCATTTTGGAAAGAAATTTTCCGAAAACCAAGCTACGTTGTTTGGAAAAGTTTTAGGTAGGGCCTATGACCTTGCTGTCCAAATTGTTCAGTTTACAAAGATGATGCACTGGTGAAAGTGGGTGCAAATTAAGAGTCGCATTGTAAAGAACTGCCTGGTCATTACTTACTGGAATAAAATCAGCTGTGCGCCATAGGATTTCTTTCAATTTAATCAAGACATCGCACAGTCGCACTCTACATTTATCGCTTCACTGCTTTTGAAGCAGGGAACCCCCCGTTTGTCGGAAAAGTTTTGTTTCTTACCGTTTTTTTTTATGATAAATGTACCCTGTAAGGCCATTCTCTAAACGTGTGAAAAAGTACCACCTGCTTGCAGAGAATAACATATACATGGAGGTGTGATTCACAGGGAAAAGTATTTGTTTTCATAATTAAAGGATGAGGAGGCTATTGGTCTACTTTTCAGACCCCTGTTAGTGCGATGTGGATGAAGCCCTGATACGATGACTTAAGGTGCCACTGCGTGATGTCATGATTCAATTTGGCGAAGATGTGATGAAGTGGTGTGATATTACGATGCAGTGATATTGATCTGTTACATGTACATCACTTCATCGTCATTGTACCGTTGAACCATTGTAATCGCACAAGGTTTCTTAGCTATAGCAGCAACACATCGTGATGAAATCACTCCATCGTGCCAAAACATCATTGTCATAGTATGGTAGCCCCATCACATCATCGTATATTAAAGCTATAAGAACAAAGCTCTACTGAGAGGTGACGAATGGCAGGACTCTGTCACCGTTCAGTAGTCCGCGATGTATACTGTAGCTTCATCAATTTTTGTTGTCATCAATTTTCGTGTATTTTGTAAAACAGACGTTTTCAAGGATACGTAATTTCACGGAGAAAAGCATGAATGAATAACATATTTTTTAATTCAATGAACATTTGAATTGGTGGATTTGCTTAACAACGAAATCCTCGAAATTTAGTGATCAACGAAAATTGATGAAACCACAGTATTAGTTTCATTCACCCTCTGTGACCTTCCAATCTTGGGGCGAGCTGTCTATTGACTTAGCTCGAAACCCCCAGAGTCGTAATTTTCTCCTGCATCGTCAAATCTATTATCTTTTATAGGATTTCTTGAGTTTTGTTTTATTTTTCCAGTATTAATATTTGGAGCAGTAGCCATTGGTTTTGCATACCTCGCCTATCTAGTTGGAGGTCCCATTGTTCAGGTATACTCCGACTTGAATTTTATAACTAAAAGATTTAACTATGTAAAATATTATCTTTTTCTACATTGTTTTACTTTGTGTGCTGAATTATTCTATAAGTTTACTTTTCGTTATTAAAAACTTCTCTCCTTGGATTAATTTTTAAGTCATTTGAGGAAAATATGTTTTACTCATATAAATAAAGGTGAAAACAAACCAAACCACATTTTAAAGATAAAAAGGTTAAGCAAATTAAAATGAAACATAAAAAGAGATTATGAGAAATTATTTTTCGTATTACATGTGTTATTCTATGGAAATTTGATAAATTGTCATGTTGTTATAATCTGATTTACCCGTATCTCATTTAGAAAAAAATAAATGTTCATTTCCCCCTTATTATAAACCAAAGTTATTTTTTAATATAATTTTATTTTCATAAACATTGTATAAATGAATTAATAATTGTAATTAATTCTTGATTTTATTTTTCTGAAGATGACTAGCACCGTCTCTTCGTGTTTTAATGGACCAATTCTAGGAATGTTCGTCATGGGAGCAGTCTTTAAATCTGCCAACTCTAAGGTAGTTATATTTTCATAAATTAAAACTAATAATTTTTATTTCTTTTACATTCGAAGATAATAAAAATCATCATTAAATTAAAGTATTCATCAACGAAAGAAAGCAAAATATACCCCTCTTGAGATGAAGGATGAAAACACCATCCTTTCAACTTTCTATTCGCTGTTGCTAAATGATTATGTACTATCTTGATTGTCATAAAGACATATCATTTCCCTATGATGTAAGATGATTTGACATTTTAAGTAGATATATTAGAGGTTTATTAGTCCGATAATGTAACAAAGACTAATTGTCACCGTTGGTCAAACTGTTGAACATTTCCTTTATTTAAGGTACATTGGTACCCTGATAAGAGAGATAACTCTTAATGACACAAATGTCTATTATTCTCTTATAAATTTGCCGAGTTGAAGTGCCTTTTTTTGTCAAATTTTGCCCCGCAAGCCATGCTATAATTATTTGTATTTTATTCAGCATATAAATTTCCTTTGGGAAATGAAAAAAGTTAAAGAAAAATTTTATATGAGTGAGCAGAGGGTTTATGAACCTTAAATTTTGTTATTCGTTGCAGCTTTTCTTGTGCTGTAGTTTTCGTACTTATGTAATTGTTCACACTTTATATAACTACGTTGTATATCTTTTATTTATGTTCTTTTTACAATTAATCAAAATCAACCATCTTATCATTCAATTGACAAGTCAATCAATTAATCAATCGATCAATCAATCAAAGAATTAATTGATCTTTCACAGGGTGCTATAGTGGGCTGTCTCTCAGGCTTTGTCTTCTTGCTGTGGATAGCTCTCGGTAAAGTCGTGGAGAAACACGTGACCCCGAGACTTCCGGGCGGTCCCGTCACAAATTGTACCACCTACTCAATCAACAATATAAACAATACTCTGTAAGTGTCATTTTTATGAGCTGCTTTCATTTCCATGAAGAAAAACTCTTTTATTCAGTTAACTGAGCAGTAACCTAAAGATGGCTGATTGGAAGAGCTCTAGCGTTCAGTCAGCTTTCAAATTAACCTTTCAGTGACTATTTAGGGTAGTTTCAAATGCTAGTAAATAGGCCAGATTTTTCTTCGAATTCCATTTTTACTGAAACTGATATTTTATTATTATATTTAAACATGCCACAACTTATCATTTTTCTTTAAAAGGATCATTCAGTGCTTACAATATAATAATATAATAATTCTTTTTTTTCTGCTGTACTGTTTAAGAAAGTAACATAGAGTAAACATAGAAATCACGGATGTTTGGTACATGTACTTCCTCAGATAGTTGTCTGAAAGGTACTCTGTTTCATCATAAGATAGGAAGTCAAACCTTTATCTTTCTGAGTACTTTACAGGAACATTAATTATATTTATCTGGTTGTACATAGTCTATATAGTTGTCTATTTTTTTTTTGTAGTTTTGAAGTAAAATTTCATATCTTAATTAATATAACAGTATAAATTTTCCTGAAAAAATATTATACGGGAAGGTGGGGAATTAAACTCTAGATCTCTTTAAATTATAAGATTTTTGATATTATGTTTGTTCGCGGTGATCATGTAACAAAAATACATTAACAAAGATCGCCAGCGATTTTAGGACTTAGTTTCAATTTTCTATACAAACTCGCTTGGAAAAAAAATTTAAAAAAATGAATCAAAAAAATCCTTTTAATAAAGACGACGAGTGAGCAACTATTGTTCACAACGAAAAAAATTTGCATCATTTTTGTCTGATGTGTTTTAGCTAGTTTGAATGGTTAAGATCATAGTTCTTTAACTGTGTATAAAAAAAGGTTTTATGACTGTCTCATTAAAATGGTATCTGTACGCAAATATACTTTTAAACAAAACAAATTACTCATTTTTAGAGCTTCAATGTCGGAAACAACATACTCAGTTAACTACACAACACCACAAATCTCAGCTGAAATGCATCATCCCAGTGAAGGGTAAGTAACGTCGATAGACCAGGATATTAGTTGGACGTTTAAGAGATTTTATTACAGAAGTATATGTCCAAATAATCAGATAGTATTAGAAATGGAGAGGATTTATATGGACAATGCATGTTATCCAATCCCTTTAAAGTATATATATTATATATATTTTTTTAAATAAATATCTATATATTTGATTTTTTTTTAATCTTCATTTATTAGTGTTTTTATGATGACATAGCTAATGCTATTGTTGAATCTTTAAAGCATGATATAACCTCAACCTTGATATATTTAGACGTTTTTTATAATATACCGGTATTTCTAATTGAAACATTAGAAACTAGATTTTTTTATAATATTACAACATATGAATACTTTTAACATTTCTATACTTTATTCAACCATTTATATACTATATATAGACATTTCGATATAATATAAACGTAGACATTCTGGTATTTTATTCTGATATTTTTTTTTACTAAATTTAGATTTTTTTTGATACTATGTTAAGACATTTTGATATCTAATTTATATTTATATATTTATATACTATTTTTAGACATTTTGATACTATTTATAGAGATCACGAGGTGCTTGGCATATACAAGATCAGCTATATGTGGTATACGACCATAGGTATGGTTGTCTGTATAGCAGTCGGAATGGCTGTCAGTTTGATAACGGGTTAGTTTGCATTTGGTAATATATGTATGTGTATATGTTAATAAATATTCAATTTCATATACAAGTCAACTTTATGTTTATTGAATTGATTTTAACGCATTAAAATGCCTAAAATTATGAGATTAATCTTAAACTTACAATCCAAGTTAAAAAAGACAAGTATACTGACAAATTATTTTCTTCTAACGTTTCCAAATAAGTACATATCTAAAATATACATGTACTTCTTTAAAGGTCCTTAATATAAACAGTGACAGGTATACAATGGATAATGAAATTCTACATCGAGCAATTCTACATGTTAAACTTTTACCAGTTACTCATCTGAAATTGATCTGAAGATAATTGAAATAATCGATATTTGCTTTTTTAGGTGGTCTGAAGTCTGCTGATGATGTTGAATTTAAATATTTATTTCCTCTAAGACGAATATTCGACTCCAAGAGGGTGAGTGAGATTTTTTTAAAGAAAGGGGTGAATCCTGCATTTATTTTTGTATTTAGAGGTAAGGAGGGTTAAGGTTGAGAATATCTTAATAACAAAAGGGACGCAATACTATCATCCTATTCCTGACACTTCTAACACTTTCATTGATATAGCAAAATTGATGTAAGAAGGATATGGAGATAATGAACAGTATTCAATACCAAAGTCAATAAAACAATACAAAACAGGAGCAGAGCAAACACGGACCTCTGAAACGTCTGAGGTGGGATCAGGTGCCATGGAGGGGTGAGCATCACCTGCTGACCGGTCACACCCGCTGTGTGCTCAAGTGATTCACCCTAAGTAAAAGCTTACCCAAAGTTTAAATTTTGAGGTAGGCTAGGTTGTCGGTTGTCATAAAGAGTCCGTGCTTAAACATCATATTAATATACTTTTACATGTATTTGAACATGAATGAAGACTCTATTCTATTTTCTCTTAAGTAATTGCCAAGATTGATTACATGTATATACATCAATACAAACACATACAAATATACATACATTCATTGAATGTTTTGCTTCAACTGAAGAATTGAATATTTTTGGAATATATAAGTAAAACTTTTTTTTTTGTTTTTTAGAAGTTGAAAATAAAACTTTATTCCATACAATATTGTCTTGATTTATTAAAGATTTTTATTTTACGCAAATTTTACTCCCGCACAGGTCAAGCAATATGAACTAAAGGAAAAGGCAATGTGGAGTACAGAACCGGAAACCTCGGTTGAGCTTGTTGGTGAAAAATCATGAAAACCGTTGTTTTCATCACTTCTGCTTATGACTACCGCCATTTCCTTGGCTTCCATCTTCAGCAAAATGGATCACAGATCCACTGCAGAAATACTCACTGCCGATATATATTAAAATGTGAAGGAATATCTTTACTCTCCTGTAAATGACGAAGCAAGCATTATCAATTTTCAACAATTTTTATGTTTTGTTCAAGAGGGCTCTTATTTTATATGTTTAAATTTTCATTTTTAAGTTTACTTGGGACAAAAGTTTAATCAGGATTTGAAATCTTTTAGCGCTGGTCCCCCTTCATTGCGGCTGCATTGACCATCTACGACATGAATCTTTTTCTCTCCCCTGAAATATTGTGCAAACGGTTTTTCACTCTAAAACAATACGGTATTGAAACTGTTTTCTTAAATTTTTGTTGTTTAAAAAAGGACATTTTTATTTGAAATGCACGCGCTATAGTGTGTCTTTACACTGAAGAATTATCATCATATTATGTATTTTATTATGTATAGACTTTGTGACATGCAATATAACATCGCTCAAAAATTTTTATTTTTTTTTTCAAAATTATCACATGTAGCCGTAAATGTGATTGCCAACATGCATGACGCATTTTTTTAATCAAGTGGATCATGTGTGTCATCTCCCATTTTGAATTTTTATACGTTTTATTTTGATAGCCATCCTATCATCAGGATATTTTGCGAATGATATTTTAAACGATAGAGAACCATGCTCCTGTTTCATTTAAAGCTAAATACAATGTAATCCAATTAGACACATTCATTTGTATTTTTGCTTACAGTATGTTTTGTTTTATGTTGGTCTAAACTTACATTTATTAAAAGCTCAATCGAGCCCCGATCTCAACATAAAAGGATGACAGTCGTTTGTTAATTCTCTGTAAAATTGTATTGTGCTTGTCAATCACAAAACGATTTCTCCATTCAAGAATTTATACCCCTTTGCACATTGACAAAAAGTGTTGCATATACGAGTGTTGTCCCAAAAAGTAGACAATGTTTATAACTTTGTTAACATGCAACCAATACTAACCAAATTTTGCATCGGCATAATATATTCAATTTTCTTTAAAACTGTGAATTCTTGAATATGTATCTTTCATATTAATAATATTGGGACGATTTATATGAATGCAGATATGGTCTGTCGGCGCACGAACAAAATCTGGAATAATTTTTGCATATCTCTATATTATATTTGCTTTAATTTCTTTGGTACTATGTAAAACATTGAACTCAAATTTAAATCAGTAAAACCAGAATCAAAATCTTTATAACATGTCAAATTTTCATATACATAGCATTAGAAACAGACGATTGGTGTCAGGATTTTCAAAGTGTTACTGGAATCGAGTTTGATGAAAATGACGTCGTCTAAGGCGTAACTGGCGCACGGATGTATAATAAATTGTTATGAATATGGTTAATATACATAAGAGACGCGAAAAAAAAGAGTACAGAAGTGACCTTACACACGAGGTTCTAATAGAGAAGTCGTTTTAAATGGTATGAGATTCAATGATAGTTTTTCCTCTGTACATGGAATAATTACCGCATGTTAGAGTACTGTATGTTTAACGCAGACAGTGGGGAACGTTCTGAGCCACGAACGACGTTGAACAATGTCTATTCTCCGGTGTGTACAATGAAAGATCTTTAGACTTAATGTCGACTGAAATTTGAATTTGCTTTTAAAAAAATCCGACAGTAGTCACGTAGTCAATTTAAAAAAGTTCCGTAGTCAAGAGTGGTTTTTCACTTAAAATAATTGATGTTAACAGACGTGTGTGAAGCAGAAAAAGACACCGTAAATCAGGCTTGCTTTCGTGCGCCGATGTACACTTACATGTTTTCGTTATTTTTTCATAATGTTTTATTAAATGTGATATCATCATGAAACTTGAAAAGCATGATCATAAAATGTTCCTTTTTACAATGACAAGGAAAGTCAAACTTAACTATTTTCCCTGTCTACGACATTTTGGGACAACCCTCGTATGTATCTCATTTGTTTTCAAAAATTTTGAAAATATCAAGTTCCATCGCATATGATGTCTTGATGTTTTCCATGTTATTGATATTTTTTAATATTAAAGAGGCTCAGTACATAAAGTGTTGTCTTTCTTGTTGTTTACTGTAGAGTAACTTCAACTGTTTTGTCCAACGGACCGTTGCTTTTGGGATAGACTTAAATACAGGACCACAATGTAAACTAGTAATATGTACTAATTGTGTTATCCTGTCTAAATAAAAGAATTTATTATTATTACAAGGGAAATTCATATTTCGCTTAAAAGTATTCAGCAGATGCAATGTTGGAATTTTCTCTGATTTAGGTTGAATTTTTGATAGTCCATAGTACATATATGAATAGTCAAATACTTGCAACTTTTTGTTTATTTCTTGCACAAAAATGTTTTTGTGAAAAACTGTATATAAGTAGCTTTATCAAGCTATTTTGAATAGCTTAATTAAGCTATATATTTGTAACGCTATAGTGGTTCTAGAAGACAGGAGTTAACTCCCCTTTTAAACACTGAGTCAACAATACTAAACTCGAAATTTAAGTTTCATAAATTTATTGAGTCTGCAAAATCAACATGAACAATTTTAACACAAAAAATAATAATACCCAGGCCTTTTAACCACCCTTTTTACTGACAAATATCACGATATTAATTAAATCCCATCTTTTAATTTAACTATCAATGAATCAGAGATAATTAACAACTGGAAATTTAGGTAAGATCGGATCGTGAAGTAATTGTAAATAAACCCCCAAATCAATAATAAATATTTATCCATAAAATAACTTGACTTTCATTCATTCAACAATTAATAACTAATTAATTACCTTATAACTGTTCATTTTTACTCTTCTCAAAACCCCAAGGGCGTATAAATATATACCGCGGATCAAGAGCAAAATAAACCAGAAGTATACCATAATGCAACATGTGCAATGCGCCACCATGTAAATAGAAAAATAGACAGTCTGCATATCACAACACGTGTCTGCACAATACAGGTAAAATACTAATGAAAACGTAATTTAAACAGAACATCTAGTGGTTCTTTCTCTTTTAAAAGAGAAACCAAAAACTTTCACAAAACCGGTCTATAAACAAACTTGTCCGCCGAAATATGGCTGAAATATTGCCGACTCGGCGTTAAACAATATAAAATCAATCAATCAATCCATCTTTTAACAGCATTTATGCAATTATTTCAACAAGAACATCATTAAATATAGAAGGACATGCATGTATTACATGTACTCGTTCTACTTTCACTTTGCATACGATGACATGAAAAGCTGTGAATCCAATTTTAGAACATCACATAATAAATGTACAATACATACGATCAAATCACTCATATTGTGAATTATATAAAGTGTTAAATTAATATGTCAAGAATTGTAATTTAAAGACAAATAAAATACAAGGGAACTTGAAGGGAACTTGAAATGACCAAACTTTACATATCTTTTTAAAGCTATATAGCTTACTCAAGAGATTGTGCTCGACCTGGTGACCTGCACCTGTGTCTCATTCTATAAGGGATCCCTTTTAAACAAAACTGTTACGTTTGCAACATAACAAAATTCTCAAATAATGATAGAAATTTACTTGCCATTCATCCTGCATCTTAACATTGCCCTAACTGCTGATTTAACTCGATGAACTGTCAGTGATTTGTCAAAACAGAATCAATTTGCAAGTTCACATACGAGCTTATGTAGATGACCATCAACTAGACGTCAACTAACAAGCTGTCATCTAATAACGCGAAAACAATTGACCACTTCGAGTTGAATGCTTTTCTTAAAAACTGTAAAATGTTTTGCATAAAATGGCCAGTTGTTGAACGTCAACTGACTGGTTTCAACGAGCTCACCACTAGTTGATTACTAATACTTTGAAAATTTAATGCAAAGAAAGAGTTGACCAAAATTGAACACTCTGATCTTCTGACATCTCGCAGAGTTGACTGAAGAAAGTAGAGGAGTATTTAAGGTTCATCGATACTTTGATAAGAGAGATAACTCTGAATGAGAAAAATGCCTATTATTCCTTTATAGATTTGCCAGGTTAAAGGGTCTTTTTGGTCGAATATGGCCCCGCAAGTTATGCTATTATTGTTTGTATTTGAATTATAACATACCTTTCTTTTGGAAAATCATTAAGGTTCCAGCAACATTTTATATAAGTGAACAGAGGGTTTATGAACCTTAACTAACTGTCAATTGTGAAGAATATATAGGAGCAATCAAAAGTTGTCCACTCTATGCAAATGAGTTGAACGCTCGCTCATTTGCATGGCAAAAATTCTCATAATGGTCAATTGACGGTAAGTTGTTCGGCAACGAACCATCAGCTGAAACCTCCGATTGAATACTAATAGTATTTTTTTTGTATAAGGATCTTTATCTAATTCATTTCGATTTTTCTTGCCAAGGTTATGTTTAATCTGTGTTTAAATTTTAACAGCTAATCAAATCGAGAAACAATTTACATAAAGGAATAACCTATCCTTAATCAAATCAATAGACGTCAGTTTACTCCAAATTATTAAAAAATGAGAAATACTGATATAATTCAAAAGCATTTGAATAGAACTTGAAGAATTTTCGATAAACACTTAAAGTAATAAATTTTCTAAATATTCTTTTTTTTATGAAACTTAATATTAGTACTAGTATTTGCAAAAATGCTTGAATTTTTATTGTGGAATTTCAATCTTTTAAAAAATCAATTGTCCTTGAGTTCTAGTTGTTATGATGTTACAGAAAAAATTGCTTTTTTTAATTGTACTGTTCTGTTTGTTTTAATTGTCTATATAAAGTTACATGTACATGTAACACCATCAGTTGAAAAAGTAATGTAAGGACATTGTAGGTGTTAAATTTTGAGAAAAAGGTAATTGTTGCCTACACTGTCAAAGGAGATCATTTTCTGTTGCTTTTTAGAACCAGAGTCATGGTCTTATAAATAAAAAAGAAAAAAAAAATGAATACATCAATGTGCTATCGATTCAGTGGCAAATTTAACATTATACAAATATAACTAGAAATTCTGATAAACTGTGTTATGTACCAAATGTTTCTATTATTTAAACTGATAAAAAGTAGCAGAGGGCACGAAATGTTATGAGAAGAATCCAAAACTTAAATGACCCTTACAAAATTGTCTAATTATAGTACTATGTGTGTAATTAAACGACAGTCACTTATTAAAATTTTGTAAAAAAGTACACTGTACTCATTATACCACTAGGGATGACATTAAATAGATAATTTTGTCTTTGTCTCATGAAACAGACTCTGCAGTATTACAGTTATGTAATACATGATTAATTGTAATTGCCTTTTAATTACTTTTTAAAAGAAAGAAAAATCCTACATTGTGGTGAGAATATTGCTGGAAAAAAGAGGGTTGTTCGAAAAGTTCATGGACGATCTCAATCATCGTTATATTAATTTCAGGAAATTTAAAAACAGCACAATATGATGTGTAAAAATACTTAGTTTATTGACACGTAAAGTTTCACTCCATTTGATTTAAGAAAAAGCAACTTACTTCATTTTATATATGTAATAAACATGTTTTGTGACCACGAAGCACACTTAACGGTCATGTAACGTCAAAAACATAGCCTCAAGAATCTCTTAAAAATCCTGTTTCAGTCTATACATTTCACATAGTGTAGTCCCATACCCACTCATTAAAAAAACTTTTTCTCTATCACTTGACATCTAGTTTTATAATAATTTTGCAAGTTGTATACTGTCCTTTGTCGATGTTCTAATTTCTCTTAATCACTAAACTGTGCTTTCATTAGATCAGCAGCTCTTACCATTATGTTCCAACGTTTAAAGTTCACTGTAGAAAATAACTATTTCAAATTCACTAAGAAGACTACTAAATTTACTGTCTATACAATCACTACCTTAAAAGTAGTTTTACTAGGTATTGGGTATATTTACTATATAAGATTAGCAAATCTAGAATTGAAAAGTAAATTTCACTAGGTATCTAAGTACATGTATATATACCATCCCGCTCCACAGCTCACTATCTTAGCAAGTAAACTGAATGATTACTAATCACGACAAACGCTTTACGAGGCACACTAGTTAAATTCACGATGTTTTTCTTTCAGTGTTTTTGTTAAGACTTTTTTTTCAGTCAGACAGTTTCTTTATAGTTTACCTTCGTCCGATACAGAGTCTGTCTCTCAAATACCACCTGTACCATTTACACACACGTGTATGCACAAATCTCTTGTGACATGATTTCGATTCCTATAATATTTATGGAGTTTTCAGGATTTTTTCCCGAGTAGAACACAAACTTGCATTGTTATCTGCTTCTCCGAGACGTTCTAAAACGTCATCGTTTTATCCTTTTCCATGAGGACTACCTATCTCCTCAAGTTGATTTCTCTTCAACGAAGCAGAATATTATGTCTCATCTTAAAATATTTAACTCATATAGAAACGTCATCATTTTCATTACATTAATTCTGATAAAAGACAAATTCAATCTAAATAGTTTGATCTATAATGATCTGACCATTTGATTAATAACTTAAGAGTTTTCATTAAGCAACTCTTAATTTTAGGCCAAACTAAAATATATTTTCAAGGATTCAGTCTTCATCTTTTATCGATATTTACTTGTAATATGTATTGCATGCTAACAATTATTTCTACCAAAAAGAAATAGATTTTCAAATAAAACATATACTGGCATGGTATTGAAGGATACAAAGGAAAAAACAAAAATGGGTGATGAAGGAGGATTCAACCTCAACGTAAAAATAAAAAAAAAAAGAAAAATAAAGAAAAAAAAAATTTCCACCCATCTTAACCTGATCCAGTTATATGGATCATGGCAGAAATAACCTGTCGGAAGAGGATGTTTATTTATTTTAGGCACCCGATCCTGCAGGTCTGTGTTTCATGCTATGTACATAAACTTTTATTGTTAGTAAGATTTTTTTTAATTAATGTTTGTTAGCATTCCGATGTCCTAAGGATTCAGATTTTTTCAAAGTCATGGATCCCGATGGTTTGGTAAAGTTTCCAAAAAAGAGTCAAAGTTTAA